GTGTCAACACAACAAATGTCTCACATATTGAGTCGTGTTGTGTCGAAGATTTGACAGGGGTTAAGTGTCGCGTTGCTTGCGTTAGTTAGAAATTAAGGAGAGCTGATGATAAGCTGTTTCAGTCGATCTGTAATGGGGGGAGCTTGGCCCTTTTAAATATATGTTTGGCTTTTAGAAAGTCGATAAAAAACAAGCAGTTAAGATGCAGAGAAACCCTTTGGTGAGAATATCTGTGTGGCAGCAAGTTTATTATGCACTCAGTGTTAACTTATAAGGTACAAAAATAACAATAAGGCAAACTATTAAACACTAAGACGCTGATGTGCACTGATTGCAGGGATTTGTCACGCTCACTCAGACTGACTTGCAATTACCAACATAATGGGTTTTGCACATAATACTGTGTGCCTAGTATAATGCATCACAGAGAAGTGCTATAGGAAAACAAATGGAAAGGAGGGCGCTCGAGTGTAGTTTCATATCCACCTATCCATCAATCCAATTCAGTTCAATTTAATTCAATTCAATTCAGTTCAATTCTTTGTCCCACAAATCAGTTTAGCAGCATGGGTGACCAATGACAATATACAGGGGGACATATACCCATCCATCCATCCAATCCAGCCAAGTGGTGTAATCTCTTTAACTTGCCCTGGGTCTACCCCAGGACCTCCAAGAAAAACTAGGTGAGTTACTATTCTGATGGCCTCTATTAGGGGAAAAGAATCGAGGCACAGGGCATAAGAGCCTCATCACGGCACAGACACTTGGAGAAGTGGTTGGTCAGCATGAGCCTGGTGCCTGAGCCTTTACCCATGGGGCCTGGAAGGGCTCAGCCCAAATAGCCTTGAGTAGACCACCCTCATGTGTATCCGCCACCTGGAGGAGGAGCCAGAGACACTCCAGTGTGCGTCTGTGCGTGTCAGCCAAAAGCAGAGGCTTTGGCCAACTTATCTTTGGCTGCCAAAATTGTCTTAAGGGACATATATTCTTCTTCTCTCTTAGGAGAAAGGAATTATCTACATGAAAGTTCAGCGCTTTGTCCTGCTGTTTCTCTGTAATCCTATTATGTATTCTGTGCACTGCTTTTTGGCTGCATCCTGTACTCTCTGACCTGTCTCTTTCTAAATTCCCCTGTTCGCCTGTAATCACCCCCACTGGCATCCTTCCCTGACTTTATTTACCACTGTTTCTGTCACCTTCCACCTTGCCAAATGTTTCAGTTTATCCTCTCCCTTATTAGCACCCTTCTTTCTCCCCCACGTCTCTCCCTTGGTCTCTCTTTCTGCCTCTGTGCTGCATTTCAGCTGTTGTTCAGCTCTTGTATCCAGAGTAAATTAAATCAAGTAGAGCTATAAAATAAGCTTAAACTGATAATCACCAAAATTACACGGGGACACTTAAAGGGAGAGCAGGTGTGAGACAGTAAAAGGGTCTTGTGAAAACAAAATGAAGACGTTAGTAGCCTCCACCCCCCTTCCCTTCTTTCATTTATCTCATTTTCTCTGCCATCATCTGGTTCTTGTCTCTGACTTTTTGTCTATTTTATGTGCTCACAAAAATATGTGTGGTTTCTTTCAAAAAAAGAAAAAACATCCATTTTAGGAGGTTGGTTTTCACACAAATCATCTTTTATTTTGTTTCTCTTTCTTCTTTGTGTTTACATGACAGAAGCCTGACTTCAGACCGTTCTGTGACTTTGACTGCTCTTCACGTTTATGCTGCACGAGCTCTTTACAGTTTCCCCTAACACCGTGCTTGTGCTCGACATGCACACACATGCACGGCATGGAAAATGGCTGCATTTGCATGATGCACAGTTCGTTATTCAGCACACGCAAAAACAAAGCTGACTGCTCTCTTTTTTCCGCCATGTTTTTCTGTGATAATCCACCCCTCGCACGCTCCCTATATTCTCCAGCCTACACAGCTCCTGAGGGACTCCCTCATGTTGTTGTCTCCCTCCTAACGCTCGTTCCCCTCCTGTTCTCCAGTCCTCACCTCCTCCCGCGTCTTCGTTTGGTGTCACCGTAACTCGCGAGAGCCGTCATTACTCTTTCTTATTTTTTCTTATTCTTCAGCTCGCTCCCTGTCCTCCCCTGTCTTAGTTAAAGTTTTGCCGACAGGCTTTCTCTTGCTACAGAAATTTCTCTGCCCACGTTATTTGTGTCCTTCTCTTTATCTCCCACTCTTTCTCTACTGAGTTGCTTTTGGAAGAGCTGTGGAGAGCGCATAGAGCTGTTAAGCAAAGATGTAGAGATCACACAGATAGACCACCCATTAACAGGCTGAAGCCATGGTATCATATTCTTATTATTGAGTTATGCTTTACTAAACTCAATCCAGCACATAACAAAAACATTTTAAAAGCATGTGATTACCCTTGTCTTTTTTTTTTTTTTTACTTGTTGGCGACTTTGTGTCTCTTGTTATCCCCCCCGCCCCTCCACATTTGTGTTTGCAGGTTTTCTTCATTTCCCTTGCAAATAGGACAAACAGAGAGCCGCAGTAACTGATTGCTAATGTAACCGCTGACTTCCCATCTAAGCTCACAGTGTGCGTTTCTCAGAAACTGCAGTTAGCCTGTGTTGGACTTCCTTTGGGTCATATTTTATTCGGACATCATCCATCAAGTGCAGTATCAATGGCAACTTCCTCATTCATTGCTCAAAAAATTTCCTTGAACACATTTACTCTTTGCACTGCTCTAGATTAGTAAGTGTCTGTAGCTATCCTAGGTTTGGTCTGCACAGCGTCACAGTATTACTATTACATATAATTACACCATAACAACAACACTCACAATTTTTTTTTTTTATTCCTGGAAAGATTTTTTTCATAGCTTCTTTAATGTCTTTATGAAAGTGCTGATTCCAAGACATGCTGCTCTTTTTACTTTTTTACTTTTTACTCTCCAAGAGTAATCCTTAATTAAAATTCAAGCTCACAGCAGACTGCCTGAACTGACCTTGGATCTGCCAAGGCCGTGGATAAACGGGGCATCAGCAGCTCTGTTTAATTAGGTGGCAGATCTAAGATCAGTGTGGTAAAAACTGCTGAAGGAGTAACACTGTAAGAAAAAAGGGGGATGTTCTATGAGAGGGACGAACGGTTTCCTCCAGAGCAGTAGATATAAATGTAAAACTCTGTGTTTGTGACAGCTTATCTTCCTGGGTGTAAAAAATAAATAAATGGATAAAAAAAAAAAAAACTTTGGGATTTACCACTGTGGGATGTTCCACGTTTGCAAATTTTGTGCAAATATTTAACAGTGGGAAATACTAAACCCTGTAGGTAACACTGAGAGGCTGCAGCTTTTAGTAAACTCAGAGGAAAGACTCCTACTTACAGCTGCAAGCAACAAACCAGGATTATGATACACTTAATGTCATTTATACCCCTAGACAGGCCTGTTAGTGTACCTCCAGCACACACACATTATCAAAAGATAAGTGATGGCAACCCCGATCTACTCACAGAGTCGTAGCTACTTTTACCAAACTAACAGATATTAACACTAAGCATATTACTTTTCCAAATTCACAAACTCTTTTCATTTTTTTGTTTCAAAACTCTGTTTTTTATTTTATTTTAGTTAATTTAAATGTTTTTTCACATCTAGTTGACCTCTGACCTTGACCCGAAGGTCAGAGGTCAAGTATTCTGAAAATCTTGTGAATGCTAAAACTTGAGAACAAAGCAATGAAGGATTTTTAAACTGATACCATCTTCCAGGAGGCTGAGGGGTAACCTTTTCTACTCCTAACACCTGTCAAGAAAGCCATAAATGTGTGGGGATTTTTTTATTATTATTATTTCAAAAGGAGAGCTCATTTGGAAGAACTGGACATGATTTATCAAAGTATAGAGTCTAGATTCTGGTGGTCAAGACTTGTAGAAGGATGGCCAGCATGAGAAGATGGGGAGGAGGTGGGCTGAACAAATGAGAGTCTGAAAGACAAAATGGTAGAAGAGAGGCAGATTGAGTCAAAGAAGGCAGGGAACAAATGATTAAGCCAAAGGGGAAGGAGAAGTGATGTAAATAACCTATCAGCCGGAGATGGGTGTATTTAGGCACAAGCTTTGTTTCGGGACTTGATAAAGCAGGACTTGATAAAGCAGGCAACACTTCCTACTTCTTACTCCAGGAACACTTTATTTGTTTGTTTGAAAGCTGTACCAAATAGCAGAGGCTGCAGCGAGCTAGCCTTATCAGCATCTAAAACTGGCAGTTGCTTTCTACCACACTTTTCACATTTGAGGGCTTTAAAAGCCTCCTGCCTTTTAATTTTCTGTATCAAAGCACTGGTATGATTGATGTAAAAAGATTAACACTAATGTAGTATGGCTGCCTAATGAGGCCTTGTTGACATGCTTCTAAATTCAGAGTGGAGAGCTGAGAGCTGAAGTGTAGCCTCAAGCTGTAAAAGCTTACTAAGAAAAAGAAAAGTGTATTTTTGGTGACAAAGAGGCTGTAGGTTATATATTTTTTGCTTAATTGCACAGCAGGTTGAAAAGAGATGCTTATTTCTGTTACCTGCCCACATGTTGTTGTTTTTTCACCAAGACTCATACTGGAACACTCTCTGAAACTTCATTTTTCAAGTGTTCAGGAGCAGCAGACAGTATAACACATAAAATGTTGTGTGATACGTGTGTTTGTGTGTCCAGAGGCCTGTTTAAAAAAGCAGGTAGTACACTCTGTGTTTACCCAAACCCAACACATCCAGCCCAGAAAATAAGTGGAGTACAGAAGTGTAGTGCCCAGCCATGTAGGAGTGGTGACAGATCAATTAGCACCTGTCTCTCCCCGCATCTTTCTGCTGCTACCGGCACAGTTGTGTTTCTATTATATGTTTTTCTGTTGCCACTCCTCTATCTGAGCCACAAGAGCGTTACATTGATACACAATTAACCCCAATTCCCACTCAAATAGATCCTGCTTAATTTATACATTTAGGATTTTAACATCTTCCTCCGCCTTCTATTTTTGCATCCAGACCGATTTAGAGTCCCTGGACCCTCGCGGTCGTACTCCTCTTCACCTCGCTGTCACGCTGGGCCACCTGGACTGCGCCAGGGTCCTGCTGCAGCACGGCGCTGACGTTAGCAAGGAGAACCGCAACGGATGGACAGGTGAGTGAGTGCGCATGCTGTGTGGAGTTTATTTGTGGTAATGCGAGCAGTGCACAGCATGCATAAGCTGTATCTGGAGGGTAGTGGTACATTTTGGAAACTTAGTTAGTGACCTTATAATACATTGTATCGTACATCTTTTGGGGGGGGGGGCTTTTTCTTCTTTCTTTCTTTTTCCTTTTTTGTTTGGAAAATGAAAACCAAAATCTCATCTCTGCTGGCACATTCAAAATTTGGTTTTGTGCTCTTGCAGTGGGAAGATAATGGAGTTTGAAATCAGTTCTTTTTTTGTAACTTTTATTTTTCCATTTGTGCCCAAAATATGATCTCACCTTAAGTTTCTTGTTTTTGCTGTCATCTCCTCTCTTTTTTGTGACTTTCTCCCCCTGACGCATACCACACTAGTAAAACTGCTCCTTTTTTTTTTACATTAGGCCAGAAAATTGAGCTGCTCTTCTAGTTGTAAATGTGAAACTAAAGCTACCAAGAGCATTTCTCCATTGCATTATTTGCCTGGCTGTGTGAAACAAAGGAAGACGTTATATCAGCACGCTAACCAAATAAGCATCATGCCTGTGTGATCGTTGCATCTTTAAAATGTCACACAAATACACACACCAGATAATATAGCGTGTGTGTGTTCGTTCAACTCACAAGGTGTGCTGTTCAAGTGTAAGGACAGCTGATCAACGATGGGTGAGACGCAGTAATTGGTGGTTCCAGCTTCTCCTTTGGCCCAATTCAGTTTTGTCAGTTCTCGCTGCCCCCTTTAAATTGTTCATGTACATAAATTTTAGATGAAGCCTGAGTGACTGGTTCTGTTTTACTCTCCCTCTCAGTTCTTCAGGAGGCGGTGAGTACCAGAGATCCGGAGCTGGTGCGTCTCGTGCTTCGTTACCGTGACTACCAGAGGACTGCCAAGAGACTGGCGGGCATCCCCGTCCTGCTGGAGCGACTGCGCCAAGTGCGATTTCACACAAGCACCCATAAGCACACACACGCGCTGTAGCGCACAGGTTCATGAAATAAGTGTGCGAGCTATGTGGGTGATAAATATGGAAGCTATAAATGCATTTGAAATGTAAATAGGTCTTTTTCAAATTTACATGCAAATTTTTACATGCAAATTTGCTTTTCTCACGAGATCCTTTCTGAAGGTATTAATAGCTTTCTTTAACAAGGGCGATACACTCAAAGGATATGTCTCCATGTTGCAAAGCGCTCTCTCCCTCTAATCTGACTCATAGCTGTTCCCTAAGGACCTCAGGATTGCCCTGTTTGAAGGCACAAAAGCAGTGATGGACATGCCGAGGCTGCCCGTACAGGAGGTTAATGGTTAGAAGCCTGCAGCAGCAGATTGTGTCGGAGCTGCTGCACAAAAAAGTGACAGCAATGCAGGGATGTGCCTCCAAACTGTCTGACTTCCTGTGTATCTGCTCCTGCCGGCTCCCTGATACACACAGTTATGCACACACTTCGGCATACTCTCATGGCAGACACAACACCCTCACACTGTGAAAACAGCAAGGAGCACTGGCACTCAAACGCACTCGCACACGAACCCGCGAGCGTTACACACATCTCATCCTTCTTCATCTGCCGCTGCTCTCACCCACATTATTGTCCTCTCCATCCCTCCACCCATCACTTCTATTATTAACACACATACACACATATGCAGACACTTCTCTGTTTCCAGTCCCTTCATCTTTGGCACAGACATCCCTGCTGCATTTATTTGCTTTACTTCTTTTTTTTCTCTCCTCCTGCACATCGGTATTCTCCTCCCTCTGTCTGTTAATCTTTAACTTCATCACTCTCCACAACTCTCCCTCCGTATCTTCCTCTTTATCGATGCTCAGTATTTTCTCATTTTTATTCCTTTCTCTGTCTGTCTCCGCTCTCCTCCTCCTCCTCCACCCTAAGCAGGCCCAAGACTTCTATGTGGAGATGAAATGGGAGTTTACCAGCTGGGGTGAGTCCAGTCCTTGTGTCCAGTGATCCAGTAAAAGCCAGTACCAACCAGTCAGATCTATTAATTTTATCTGCCTCTTAGGCTAAAGACACCTGTTTTCCGTTGCATGTCAGAAAAGCATTTGTATTGTATGTGTAGGTTAGAATGGCTTAAATTTAAAAAAATTCAAATACAAAAAAGAAAACTGAGACCTAGCTCAGCATGGTTTGAGTCAAAGAGTGTCTGTATTCGTCCTTAGTGCCCCTGGTGTCTCGCATCTGCCCCAGTGACACATACAGAGTTTGGAAGAGTGGTCAGTGTCTCCGTGTTGACACCACCCTGATGGGATTTGAACAGATGACCTGGCAGAGGGGAAACCGGAGCTTCATTTTCAAGGGACAAGGTGAGAGTTTGAGCTCGACTGGCTCGCTCCGTGTGAGGTGCACGCAGTGTGTCAAAATGCATTCAAAGAAAACGACACTGACTAGTGCTGATATTTAAAAATGGAGGTGAAAGACAGATGAAACTGGGCGACGTGAGAACAACAAAAGCACAAGTCAATTTGAATTTTTCTTTCGTTGTGTTTTTGCTGAGAATTATTTGCATAAGTGAAACAAACATGGTTTAATATCAAAATGAGTAGAGAGCAAAGCTAGCTGTTTCCTCCTGTTTTTGTGCTAAGCTAAGCTAACTCGCTGCTTCCTGCGGCTTTATTGATCACAAAGGCATGAAGCTGGTATTGATTTCAAATGATTCTCATAAACCAAGACGATAATTGTGTTCCCTAAATTTATCTCCAATATGTATCCTTTAAATCTCCCGTAGTGGGAAGTAGAGATGGGGGATCGATCCAATAATCGATCGTGTGTTTACCAGCGTTAGTAATGGTATGTAGCACAGTAGGATTGATACTTATTTCTATCCTCCAAGTTCAGTACGTAGCTCACTGAACTGTTGATGATGATGATAAATCATGACACACTGGTCTCCCCTTCATGAGCTCCCTTTATAAGTATCAGTATTGATATTGGTATCGGCAATACTGGCCCTGTATTGACTTGGTATCAGGCAGGTATCTATCTGTCTGTCTGTCTGTCTAAGCATCACAGATTTGTGGACTTCCTCACCTCACTGAAAAGCTTTCAACTTTTCTCTTCCCTTCTCTCCCTGTCTTTCTCTCAGACTCCAGCGCAGAGGTGATGGAGGTCGACCACGACAGGCAGCTGGTGTTCTGTGAGACCTTGTGCGTGTCATCCCTCACAGCGCTCTCGCCGGGCAGGGGGAAGGGCGGTGCCTGCAGCAGCACCACAGCTGGGTTGGGCCTTCTGGGAGTAACCCAGCCCACTGACGAGCAGGTAGCGGCCCGTCTGTCTGCCCCAGTGGTGACCACGCAGCTGGACACCCGCAACATCGCGTTCGAGAGGTCAGAAGAAATACTGCTATGTACTGAACAAAAATATACAGGATGTGAAAAATCTAAGCTAATAAATAGCTTTAGCTCAGCCACAGGACTTGCTCCATTAATCTGCTGTTCTTTTTTTTTTTTGGCTTTGTTTTGTTTTTTCCCCAGTGGAGAAAAATCACTCTTTTGTTGTTAGAGTTGAATTTCTGTCAGCGTTTCTCTGTTGCTGCCTCCTACACTGCAACCCACAGCTGAGTGGAACAAGTTCAGGCACGTTCTCTGGTGGCTGTCAAAATGCATTTCACAAAGTGTAGGAAAATACAAACCAAAGCTGCAGCAGTGGGAGGAAATGGACACAAGAAAAAGTCGCATAGAACAAACTGTTAAATTTCATTGAAGAGCACATATTTTTGGAATATTGTGCAATAAGTGCATTAAAATAGTTATTCTAAAATCCTGCTGTAGTTTAAAGTAAGACTGCAGAGCTTTTGAAAGAAGTAAAAACAATGTTCAAATAGCAGCAGCTGTCTTGTAATTCAGTTGCAGTCACACTGGGTCAATAGTAATCATTGTATTTTAATTTAACTACTCGCTTCTTCATCCTTTCTGTCTCTGTGTAACCTCAAAAAGCAAAAAGTGCCCAAATAAATTTGCAGGACTACGCTTGATGTGAAGGAACAAATTAGCTTCTGGCTGCCTGGATTGAGCTGGGGGCGCCTGTAAAACAAATAAAATGCAGTGGTGGGAAAAGACAAAAAGACTTGGACAAGAGACAGGCCGGACATAAGGTGGAGAGAAAAGTGGACCGAGCTGGGGGGAGGCAGGGGGGGTCATGGAGGACAAAATTCATCCTATTCTGGTTGGTTGGAGAAATAAGACTGATGAGCAAAGGACGGGGTAATGGAAGAGGGAGTTTTGTTTGGACAGAGAGGGATGGAGAAGAGAAAATGTAAAGAGATGAAACAAAAAAGGAATGAGAGCGAGGGACAGAACTAACGCTGGGACATGGAGGTATGAGGGGAAGGCACACAATAAGAAAAATGGAGGGAAAGATGAATGGGTAGCAAGGCTGTGGGTGGGAAAGCACAATACAGAAGCCAGAAGAAAGAGATATTTGATCTTTTTTTGTGGCAGGAGGGGAAAAAGAGGAAGACGGTGATAGATAGGCGAGTGATGGAAAGGCAGCGGCGGCAGGAAGTGAATGTTAACAGATTAAAAGTGAGAAAGAAGGCCGAGAGACGAATGACTCCAAGAAGTGAGCGAGGAGAGGTTGGGGCTGGGGTAATTATCTCACTGTCAGACTTGCACCTCGGTGTCACCTCTGTGCATTTTGCTCCGTCAGCATTCCTGTCCAGTAATGTATTTGGGATGCTTTACAGCAAACCGCTTCGTCAAGCATCCTAGACAGGGACACCTCAAAGCTCTGGAGTTATTACGTCTCTACGCAACTTTGCACACAAAAAATACAGCGCTGCAGTTTTACTGTTTTAAAAGTTGGATTCAAAGTTTTGGGAACCCATGACAAGGACCTTGACAGCTGGCTAGCAGAGGAAACGGTATGCTTAGGCTACAGACTTTCCCTGATTGAGACAAATTCATGTGCCACTTGCCAAGGGACATAAAAGGACTGTCGTGTATATTAGCTTGAAAGACACATTTTTCCGTTACTTCGGTGTATATATAAGATAAACTACCTTGAGAAGTGGATGGAAGATTATCGTATGCCTTGGCAGTCGTTTGCATTCGTGTTTAGCGCTGGTCCTCTTGGGGTCTGTTTGGCCAACAATCACTTACAAAAATGCGACAGGCTGCAAGTTAGTCTGTGATGTTGCACTTAAACAAAACAATGCTAGTTTGTTTTTTTTAGTAGTTCTAGCCTTGTTTATACTATTTAGCATGCTAACATTTTGCAAAGTACAGTTCAGGCTTGTGAGATTGCCAGTATTTTCCATTAATCTAAATCTTTTGATAATTATAACAGCTTATCCACAGAGGAGCAAATTTCCAAACAGCCCGTACAGTTGTTGTTGACGAAAATCTAAACAAAGTAGGATGGGAGACAGGCGTGACAGCTTTTTGAGTAACAACCCTTAGGAGAATTCTCCCAAATGTCATTGATAAAATAAAAAAATAAATAAATCTGATATTGTTTCACTAATAAACTGAAGAGCTGAAATGAATGGATTAACCATCCTTGAAAAGTGAGTTTTTGTGCTTTGAGGAATTCAGTGGCACGAATAAATCACAAAGATGCAATATGGCTCGCTGACTTCTGGCAGCTTTGCTAATTGCACACTGAACTGCTCGTCTTCACTGGTGACAAACAAGGCCAGCGTCTTCAGGATTCCTCTTGTGAGGAAACTTGGTTTTTTGAGCTTCCTCTCCTGGGTGCTGTGTCCTTGAGCTTAGATGTAACTGAACTGCTTTATTATGGTTTTGGGATGTGGGAGAGATGACCTGGGATGTGCTGAAACTGTGTTGCAGGAACAAGACGGGCATCCTGGGATGGAGGAGCGAGAAGACCGAGACGGTGAATGGATATGAAGCAAAGGTAAGCGGTTCGCTTATCTCTCGCACTGTCCAGAGAAAGCCCAGCCACTGTTTGATATTTGATATTCAGTTTGATATTCCATGAAAGTTCACTTAACTTCAAGGATTTCATTTCCTGAATGAATAAAACCCAGAGTTATTTCATGCTTTAAAAAAAAAACATCGATCAAGATTCAGCAGCACCTAAAAGACCAGATGGCCTCTCAAATCAAGTTAAAAAAAAATACATTACCATGTTACCTTGACCCCATTTGTTTTCTTTCTCCCCCTCGAGGGATCGATGGGTGGCAAGTGTCAGACTACCGGGCCATCTGTAACCGGTGGGTTTAAAAGCCCTTCAGATGGGCTCTACAGTAAAATACTGCTGTCTATTTTCTGCTTCATTGATTTAGAGTCGCAAACATAAACAGACAACGCATAGAGAACTGCTCTACCCCTGGAAGCTTTTAGTTCTTTATTTCAGTCGTGTGTAGTCAGTGTAAACTCAGTATCAGCAGCCTGCTCAATATTTAATCAGCGCCTGATTTTTATGGTCACTGTTGAGGAATTCCCGCATTTTGCTGTGGACTAGTCGGACTGCAGACTAGCAACTAGGGTGCACAAAAATCACGGCTTTAAGGGTTTTGGTTTTGCTTTATAGCTCGTATGGTGACAAGTTGTTTTTGGAATTATTGCTACAGCTATGAGGTGGTAAAGTGTGCGTGAACAGAAAAAAGGAGTTATGTGTCTTCCTCTTTCAGGTGTATGCAGCATCCAATGTTGAGCTGATTACCAGGACCAGAACCGACCATCTGTCAGACCAGAACAAGAACAAGATAAAAGGTAAGTCACTTCATCAGGATGTCGTCACGCCTTTTTTGTTCCCCTGCAGCTGAATCTCTCCATTACGTCCTCCGCGCCGTTGTAACCCGCAGTCCAAGTGCCGAGACATGTCCGATAGAAGAGTCACCGATGACTAATCCCTCTCACCTGAGCTTGATGAGATCACCCCGAGGCTGCGGCTAACAGCCCGTAAAGTTCTCTCGGTGGCTCCGTCTCATTTTCTGGTTCACATCATAAATCAAACAGGATTAGCAGGTTTCCCTCTCTCCCTGGACCGTCGCTGTCAGCCAGGATCAACCATCACGCGCTCTTCTGAGAGAGCTCCTCTCTCCCAGGTCACAATCCCCATCTGCGCTCTGCAAATATGCACGAGGAAAGTGTTCTCAGAGACTCGGTCCATTTGCCCATTTCCTTGAGCTACTTTTCATCATTTTGTTAACGCTGTTAAGAATTTAAAAAAAACCTTTAAGTGCTATCTATCTATCCTAGGAGAGGCACACACTGTATCATCAGCAGCTGTAGACAGATTAGATGACCAAAGGCTGAAATGTAGATCAGTGCTTTAAAAACCACAATATAGTGATGGACCTTTGCTCTGCTTTTAGTACGTATTCAGTTTCTGGTTTGATAAAGACAAACTGCACCACCACGTCCAAACCACACACTATCAAGCTGCTCACTTTTTTTTTTGGTGCTCAGATCTAAATGAAAAGCAGCTTTTGAGTTTCTCCACTGTGGATCTTTTAAACCCTTGTCTAATTTTCGCACTCAGTTTATTACTGCGGGGAGAAAGATCCTGGAGTTTATGATTGCAGATTTCACTTTTGGTATTTTGCAATATACAGCTTTTCAAAGTAGATGGGACTTGAACCATTAGAATCAGATTTAATTTCGGTTTTTTTTCACCCTATTTAGTTGTTTATTCTCATTGTTCAAGAAAGAAGTTTGATTTGAAGCCAAATCTTTATCCTCATTTGTCTGTATGTGAAGTCCATTTACATACAAGGACATACCATATCTTAAAGGCCTCCAAGTACCAGTAGAGCACTTAACTCTCAGACTGCTGGCTTGTGTTGTTTTTGGGGTAGAATGGGAAGCAGAGCCCTCAGAGGTTTTTTCCTGTTAAAAGTGAGTTTTTCCTCCTCACTGTCATCAAGCACTTGCTTATAGGGAGTCATCTGATTGTTGGGGTTTCCTCTGTATTATTCTGGGCTCTTTGCCTTACATATGAAGCCCCTTGAGGTAACTGATGTTGTGATTTAGTACTATGTAAATAAAATGTAAAATAATAGAACAATTTTTTAAACCCATGTAATCCTAAAAAGTTGCCTGTGTATGGATAACTGAAAAGGTTATTTGGTGCGTCAATCATCATTTTTGAAGCACTGTTTCCTCAATAGTTAGTCAGGAGAGGGACAAGTTTCCACCTGTGTGATGTCATGGAAACGATGCAGCTCAAGACAGGGGAGGGCTTTCTTAGTCACCACCACCGAAAGTGAAGTGACCTCATTTGCAAGTCCAGGTGATGTGGAAATAAGTGCCACTCCTGCCCAAAGTGCAGCGTGAACAAGCTCACTGACAGTGTGTGGGCTGCAAACACACTCTCAGAGGAAAACAAATTATTTTGACCCAGTCTAGAGTTTGGGATGATAATCAACAACTTTTCTAAATCCATTGTAAGATGCCAGTGTTGAGTCTCTGCAGAAAACGGCTAAATTAGGTGCCAGTATATAGAAGAGGGTGTCATTTGGACACCAGGTCATTTCACCCAGTTAGGAACCTTCCTAAGCCAAAAAAAGATGATTCCACTTCACCCCACATGCTGACAGGGCCGGTCTGAGATGACAATAGAGTGGGGAAAAGGGAACACAGGCATCTACAATAAATGCGCTTTAATGTTTGACAAGCATGTTGAATGTCTTAGACTGGATTTTGGGTGATGAGCGAATGCCTCATGTGGTCCCGTAGCAGGAATTGGCTGTTAAGACCTCAAATATTCTCAAGATTCTTGTATTATCTTTTGATTTGTGTGACAAATGTGATTTTTTTTCTCCCATTACTGCTGTGCCTGTTTCCCAGAATAATGACGGTGACATATCTCCAAAAGTGATGCCCTCGCTCTCTTTTTTTATTGGAGCACTAAAATCGTCGTCTTGAAGAAGTGCTATTCAACTGGCATCTTACATGGATGAGATAAAGAATTGAACTTTTTTCTGAGGGGGGGAAATATGTCTATGATTTAATGAACTATAGCAAAGCAGGGTGAGAGAGCCTCAGAGCAGGAAAAGGTCAAGTCGAGAGGTGGAAGTAGGAAAAGTAAGAACAATGTTGAGATTGAGGGCTTCTCGTTGTCCAGCTGTAGTCGGTAATTACTTACGTATCAGGTTCTGCTGTGAGATCTGCTGATATTTAGGCTACACCACCTTTTTTGCTTCTATTCAATTAAGCTGGCTTGCCTTGGTTTGGTTCATGCTGGCTCCTAGTAGATAAGAGTGCATTACAAAAAGCTTCATGTAATGCAATAAGGCATCCTGAGCAGAGCATTATAGAGCAAAATGACACTGTGGACAGATGCAGCGGCGATAAATGAGCCCACACAGAGGGCTGTGCAGTAATCTGAAGTAAATGTGTAAAACAAACAGGACAGCATGTATTTTGTATGGATGTGCTGGGATTATATAAGTGCATTTTTTTACTTGTTGCTGCTGCTGTGTGTCTGAGCAGGTGGGAAGACTCCACTGCAGAACTTCCTCGGGATTGCAGAACAGCACATGGGGCCTAATAACGGGGTGAGCACACACTCGATTTGAACATCGTCACGTGAAACATGAATGGCAATCGGCGCTGTGACTGTCATCGCTGTTTTCAGGGACATTTCCTACCTTCTCGTGTTAGCGTTACCCCGCCCCCAACTCGATCGCCTCCTCTTCGGATGGTCAGGCAGTGTATGAATCCCGACTGTCGAGTCGACCGTGTCAACAGCAGAGGCTCCAAACTGCTCTCAGATATTGATTATGTTTTTTTAATTTGTTTCTGCTGCTGAGCACCAATGACTCATACCTCCCTGCTTCTCCTATTTCTGTATTCTGGCTCTTCACTCGCTTCCGCTCCCTGTCGCCTCTGCACATCATCATCCACGCACACACACACACCCAAAAAATTGAATTTGCCATTAAGTTCTTTTGGGCAACAGATCAAATTGGTGCACAGACAATGAATGTATCCTGAGCTTGTGGCTTAGCACTGCAAAGACCCGCAAAGCAAAATCGGCTATTTTACCAAACCGTAAACTTTAAAGAGGCACTTTGTCTTCTGTTTCACAATTCTTTGTTTGCCCGTAGCAGGAATGGGTGTTCCTACTTTTGACAGGTTTAGTCATGCGTCACACCGAGATAGTTATTAATGCAGCGAGCCAGCCGCTGTAATGATGAATAGTGAAATAAGAAACCGCTTTATAAATTTCTTCTGGCTTGAGCACGACTCCTTCAAAGAGTTGTTAAAAAATGCCAGTAGGTAAAAGGAAAGCCTTGAAATCTCTACAGAGCAGAGAATAGTAGAGAAGGTGAGTTTGAAAAGCCTCTGGTATTGATTAATAGTCCTTTGCATCCCTGCGAACAGAGTCGTTTTTCTACAGCTGTAAAAGCTTCACTATCTTTAATACGGCGACATGTTACAGCTGGATCTTTTTTTTTGTAAATTCATGTTATTCACTCCTCACTTTGCCCAGGCTCTGGTGACCCAGATGTCGTCCCCCGTGGTGACGAACCCCGCTGCGCTGACCGCCGAGGAATACTTCAACCCCAGCGCGACGACCACTCAGAGGGATATCGGCCACCCGTGCCAGCTCACAACCAAGACACAGAGGTGACACATGCCCACGGAAAAAGAACCAAAAAAACAAACCAAACATTCAGCCATGCGTAGAGCACAGTCGCCCTGAGTTGCAGAGTCGTTGTCAGAGCTGACAAAATGATGGACAGAGAAGAGCCCAGAGGAAAATCGGCCGTCCGCAGCAGCTGACCGCCGAGCTTCTGAGGTGAAAGGCAGCCAGATGACAGCGGCAGACAAACACTCAGGTTTTTACAAAGCTGGTGGAGAGTCGAGCAATTAGTGGGTTTCTGCAGTCGATCATTCAGCTCTGGCTCGATGACTCATGGCACATCATCTTCGCTCCAGCGTATTAACAAATGGAACAAAACAAAAAAGAAATGAAAGAACGCTTTCTGTGTCACTCAGGGAGCAAAAATCAAAAGAAGTGAAAATATGAACTCAGTGAGGAAAGTAAAAGCAAATAAAAGAATGATCTGAGTGTTCGGGTGTTTTTTGTAACATAGCTGATGTTATTCCGCTGCCCACAAATTGGGGTTGTTGCTCTGTGTTTTGGGTCTTTCGGACATTTCCAGTACCATCGTTCTTCAAGCGCGTAATGAAAAGTTGCTGGACATCAGGAGGACGACAAGTCTGAGGTTGTAGAGCTGCCTCTCAATCTTGTGTTCATTCATCGGACAAATTAGAATATGAGAATCGATCGGCCTCGGCTTGAGAACGACTCAGCAGCTTGTGGACAGCCACTGTTAGCTGATGTGATCAATGTCTTTGTGCAGCTTCCTCCGGGCAAACATTTAACTGTCTGAGCAAGAGCATAAATTGCTTCAATTATGCTTTAGTCAGAAATGTATTTGCTGATATTTTATTAATTAACTCTTTCTTCCTGCCTTCTTTCTTTTCCCATACGTGTGCTCGTTCCCAGGTTTAAAGCTAAGTTGTGGCTGTGTGAGTCCCACCCTCTTTCCCTGGCAGAACAAGTGGTGCCTATCATCGATCTCATGGCGATCTCGAACGCCCTGTTCGCTAAGCTGCGTGACTTCATCACTCTGCGTTTGCCGCCTGGCTTCCCTGTCAAGATTGGTGAGCACTGTGAGATTGAGACGGATGATGGGAGGGGGCTAAGGTGTGTGCTGTTTAAATAAAGGGGGAGGGCGCAGTTATGGAAAGGTTGGAAAATGGACACACGGATTAATGGAAAGTTAAGACATGCAGAGAAAGGGTGTAAAAAAATGACCAAATTACTTATAAGATGTATCAATCATAAAAACAGAATAATTGATATGAAGGACATGTGTGTTATTGGAGGATGGGGGTGAAATTTCTCTCCTCTCCTTACAGAGATCCCTCTCTACCACATCCTGAATGCCAGGATCACCTTTAGTAACCTGAATGGCTGTGAGGAGGGAGCCGGTGTCCGTGCTGACAACGAAGTGGTGGTGGAGGGCGAAAGACAGAGGGACACCCCGAGGACAGACACCCCTTCTCCGGGCAGCGACTCGTCCAGCGTCTCCAGCTCTAGTTCCACCAGTAAGCGCCTCAGCTGTAGAATGTCTGTAGAAGCTTTTTCTTTTACCGCTCCACAAAAATTTTTTATATTCTTTTTAAACATCAGTGTAATTTATTATATGTATATTTTGTGTTAATAACGTAAGCCTGCAAAATATTGTCACCAAATCGTTGAACTAAATTGAGGCGAGTACACCACATGCCCCCTTTTAGACACACCCCTGCGTGGGACATGTAATCCTGCAGCAAGTTATCAGATTTAAAGATCATAACAAACTGTAGTCATTGGTTTATCTGCATAGAGGCATATTTTACGTTAATGTCTGTAGCTTTATTGGACAGCATATAAAATGGATTTAACTACCGTGACGTAATTCTCTCGAGTCTCCTTTAGATGTCTTCCAGATGAGCGTTTAGTTTTTAGTTGGTGACTGAGCCCATAAACTCATCAGGAAAGTGTTTGCTGTGGTCAGGGCACAAAGCTGTTTTCGCCTAGACTTCTATAGTAGTGGACGTTTTTTTTTGCAACCACAGCTGTCGCCATCTGGTGGCCTTTATATAGAGTGCAGGTTTTCAGGCGTGTATGCATTGGCTTCATTGTTCCAACCCAGAAGCTGCGTCTATCAGTTATACTGCTGCTGCGTAAGGCAAACAGCAGTGGTGACTAATACAGCCACACTCCTGACTTTGAACCTAAAAAAAACATCCAGTCCAATGCATCTGACATAGAAACCGCCTGCCTTTACTTTGCTATTTCTGGCAGTGGGATACAACACCTCTGACTAACCAGTGTTTGCTGGGTGTTAATTACAAATACTCTAATTATACACTTTGGAAATTTCAGCTAATACACATTACTGTGCAAAGGTCTTGAGGCAATCCTCATGTCTTGATATGTTTCTAGGAAAATGGGAAGTAGGTGCAGCGATTTGCATGGACACGTGCACAAAAATAACAACAGAGTTTCTACAATTCCAACAAGCTTCAAAGTCAATATTTGCTGTGATCACCTTTATTCTTCAACACAGCCTGAACTCTCTTAGGAAGGTTTCTTTACGTAGTCTTCAGGAATACTTCTCCAGGCTTCTTGTCGGACATTTAAAGCTCTTTTCTGTGAAGATGATCCCACACTCTCTCAGTAATGTTGAGGTCTGGGCTTTGGGACGTCAGTGCATGATCAACATTGTGTGTTTTTCTATCCAGGTATGATTTTACTGGAAGTGTGTTTGGGATCACCTTCACGCTGAAAAAAATGAAACTATGCCAGTCAAATGCTTTTTGAAAGAATCCCAACACCACTTAAATGAATCTCCAGATTATGACATCGTGTTTTACAGATGGCTGTGCCTCTTTCTCGATCTTCTTCAGACATACTGATGATGATTTGAAGCAAACATTTCAAATCTGGGTTCATCACTCCATAAGACCCGTTGCCACTGATTCTAAGTGTAATTTAGCATACCTCAGCCTTTTCTTCCCACGTACGACCACTGAGACCAGTCTCCTAGTAACAAAGTGTCTAATGTTACAATATAAAATTAGTTCTTATTGATTTTTATGTGAGACACAACACGGATTCATACTTTGGGTTTTTGAGTTTGAATGATTCATTGGTGAGTATTTAGTGGCTAATGTCTCTGAAAATAGTCAGGTGCAAAAGTAGACTTTATTACAGGCTTTGAGTCAATAGACTGAGGTTTTGCCTCAATAGGTGACACATGTAAATCTGCAAATATGAAGTGTTTCCTGCCAGATTTGTCTACTTTCTCCCAAACTTCTGCTGAGTGACAGGCTGACACTTGTGCAATATCTGTTAATTCAGGGGTTTAAGTCTCCTCGTGCTTTCTTTTACTCAGAAAAAAACCTCTTGTGTTTTTCCGCTCCTCTCCTTTAGCCTCCTTTACTGCCAGATAACACTCCTTCCCATCTCTTGCCCTTTGCCTTCCCCCCCGTGTGCTGCAGTGTCCTGTCGAGCCAGCGAGATTCCCCCGTGTGTGTTTGAGGCCCCACCTGGATACACCATGCTAGGAGGCAAACAGAGAGACAGCATGAGGGAGGAGGAGGAGGATCTGCTGCAGTTTGCCATACAGCAGAGCCTGCTGGAGGCTGGCTCCGAATACGATCAGGTGGCTTCAATGTGAAACTCCTGAGAGATCATCTTTTCTCTTCTGCAGGGAGCTTAAATCAGAGCTTAACTGGCTATTAGCTAAATCAAACTGCTTCATATGTTTTTCTCAGGCTACACGTGCACAGTTAGCAATGATCCAGATAGCATAGTGGTTTAAAAAGACTACAGCAGGGTTCCTATTTGTAACTGAAGACTCTCAGTCTAGCTGGCTTTTATTACAGTTACATTGGCGGTCATCATCAGGTTGGAAGCTAAGGTTAATGTTACACTTCATCATTTTTGATGGTGCTGTAGAGGTTGGGTGTATTCCCCGCATCCTATAAAGAGCAGCTGATTGTAGCGTACACATAGTGAATGAACCTGTGTCAGCATACTGGAAATGCTACACTGTGGATGAGCTGAACGTATTTATGTTTTAATCAAGCCCACAGACTAGCTAATGGATGACTTGGATGATGCTTAGGCAGTGCAGTTGCACGTTATGAAGTTCATAATTTATTAATTTATACAAAACAGTTCAATTTTTGATTCCTATGGGACGCTCAAATTCATGTACCATAAATTCTTATTCTTCTCTGTCATTGGGTTGCCCAAATTGTACTAAAGGCTCAAAAAGTGTACCCTACACCATTGCACCAAGAGTAGCTGGAGCCATTGTTGTCCAGTACTGTGTGTTCAGAGATGCTCTTCTGTGGCCTTTGGTGCCGTTCAATCAGCTTGCTCAAAGCAGTCAGGCCATAAACAAGGCATTTTTACCCAAATCTCAGACCATTCTCTTTAAACAGCAGAGATGTTTTTGTGGGGAAATCCCAGCAGATGAGCAGTTTCTGAAACGCTCAGACCAGCATGTCTCGCACCATCAACAATGACACATTTAAAGTTCCTTAAATCATCGTTCTTCCTCATTCTAATGCTCAATTTAAACTTCAGAGGATCATCTCGGCCGGGTCTGCCCAAATTCAGTCGCGGCCATGTAATCGGCTGATGAGACGTTTGCATTAAGAAGCACTTGTGTGCTTGTATATCTTTAGCAGCCTCTGAGGTGCATCTCTGCTGCAGAGAGATTCTGTTCAGATGAAACAATAGAAAATAACTCGCATGCTCTTATGAAAGGTTCGCCAAACTGATGTTTTGCAATGTGTCTCGTTATGTGTTCCAATCATGTTAAAT